TCTCTCCCCCCCCCCCCCCATTAGTTCTTGAGGCCCACCATGACCTGATGAGGAGAGAGAGGAGGCTGAAGAAGCCCATGGTGCTCGGCTGCAGAAGAGGTCCCCCTGCTGGGCTGTCACAGGCAATCTCTCTGATGGCCCCTGATCTGAGGTGCTGAGGCTGTGTGAGTGCCCATCCCCCCCTTGACATTCCAGCCCCCAACAGCCTGCCCTGCACGCTCCTCTCAGTGCCGGGGCCTGGTTTCCATAGCAACACTGCTGCTGGGTAACGATTCCAGGGAGAAAGACATTCCTGCGGTTGCCAGTGTCACCTGAGTGTCCCACAGCATGCTTGTTGCCCTGCTTGTTTCGGGGAGACGCCTCCCCCACAGGAATCCTGAAGACAGCTCCAAGCCCTTCTGCTTCTGTGCTTGCGGCCAGGCTAGAGCAGCGGTGAGCTGCTGAACGTTCCCAAACACAAAGCCCTGATTCGGAGCATTTGCCGATTTCCGTGGTGTAAATACTCTCACAGCAGGCGATTTCAAAGCATCACTGAACATACAGTTAGGGGGAGATGTGTGGCCACACGCCGTCATGAAGTATTTCCACCTTCCAGACACAAAAGATGTAAATAACCCCAAGAGCACAGATAACAGTAACGTGTAGTAAAATAATTAGAAAGTGATGGGGAGTCCATGCCAGTCCCCATGAGTGCTGCCTCCTCCAGGAAGTACCTCCCGATTCCTCCTCACTGGCCCTGTGACACGTGCCTGAATTCTGGTGGTGGTGGTCCTGTCTCCATTTGCCTCCCCCCCCAGGAGGAACTCAAGGTCATAGCATCCCTTCCTAGAGCCCGGTGTGGGCTGGGTGCTGCAGAAACTGGTGGCTGGGCTGGGGCTGGCCTTCTACCCGCAGGTGCCTTGAGGGCCCCCCTTGCTCCACCCAGCTGGGCCTCCCAGTAGCAGTAACGGGCTTGCTTCCTTTGCTGTCGCTGCCGCCGCGAGCCTCAGCCCCTGTCCTCCTACTCTTCCATTCTGCTCTTCCTGCAAAGCTGTTCAAGTCCTGCTTCTTGCTTGGGCCCTGGCCTGCGATGGCCTCCTCCTCCTCCATCTCCCATTCTGACTACTGCAGCCTGTCCTGGCTCATGACCTTGATTCAGTCCCTTCGTCTTGCTGAGCCTCAGTTTCCTCATCTGCAAAATGGAGACAATAATGGCATTCTCCCTCAAGATTGCTGTGGGTTCAGGATTCGGTGGCAACCCACATCAGGCGCCCTACCTGGGACCTGGCACATACCAGGTGTCCAAGAAATGATGGTGGCTTTATAATGGCCACTTCCTTGGCACCTCTCTTAGGCCACCTTTCCATTCTAGGAGATTTCTTGTGTGTTGAGGCAGTCACCACCATGAGGACACAGACCATGTTATTATGCATCCCCACCCAACCCTGACCCTCCCCAGTGAGTAGACATTTGTTGACAGACCTCGGAAGAGAAGTCAAGGTCATCTTCCTGCCTTGATGCTGGATGAGCACAACACAGATGCTCACTGAGGGTTGGCTGGTATGGCTCAGTCATTGGCAAGGGGCTCTCTGGAACCTTCTAGATGCTAGCTCTGGCCTTAATGCTGCCTGAAGGAGAAGCAGGTCCTGCTGGGAGAGAGAACAGAAGAGTTGTGGATGGAAGGCTCCTGCTGAAGGAGGGACTGAAGGATGTTCTAGGGCAGGGGCAGAGCCTCCGGATGCAGTGTGCAGACACCGTGCCTCCCTGGCCCTTGGTGTGGCCCAGCGAGCCCCAGACAGCACTCCATGGAGTAGAGGCTGAGAAGTGGGGTTTGCCTGGGAAGGAGGGCACCAAGGGGAGCTGGGGCTGTGGATGTAGAGCGGATTCCTTGGTTGAGTGAATTGGGGGTGCTGGTTGGCGGCTGAGGGGCCTGCTGTCCAGGGCCTCTGTCTTCCCCTCCAGAGGGGAGGAGCTGGCCCGTGAGGGTTCTCACAGAGGCGTGTCTCTGCTGCAGGTGAACGGGAAGGAGCTCTCCAAGCTGTCTCAGGAGCAAACCCTGGAGGCCCTGCGCTCCTCCAAGGAGCCCCTGGTGATCCAGGTGCTGAGACGCAGCCCCCGCCTCCGGGGGGACAGCTCCTGCCACGACCTGCAGCTGGTGGACAGTGGCACTCAGACCGACATCACCTTCGAGCATATCATGGCGCTGGGCAAGCTGCGCCCACCCACCCCACCCATGGTCATCCTGGAGCCGTACGTCCTCTCTGAGCTGTGAGTCGTCCTCAGGAGGGCCCCGGGCCCTGCCTCCAGAGAGAGCATGCCACCTGGGGCAGCCATCTCCACGCCATCCAGAGGCTGCATCTGTGCAGCTGTGGGCGTGGCAGGGAAACCCCGAACCAGCCGGCCTCTCCTTGGCCTCCAGAGCTGACCGTGGCACTTGAGGGCTCAGACACTTCCAGGCATCTAGCCTTAAGCTGGGCACCAGTGGTGAAGGGGGCCAAGGGGAGGCTTGCACGCAGGCCCCCCCATCATGTCTACCCCAGGACTGAGGGAACACCGTCCTGTCCTGACACTTTGCTGCTGGAAATGTAGCTTCTCTCACGGCCCAGCTGGCCATGGTCGAGGTCCCCCCCACTCCCCACCCTCCTGTGCCACCTCACCGTCTCCTGCCTCACAAGCATCACTCCTTGAATCTTCTTGCATTCTTTGCCTGTCCCATCCCTCTGCGTGCTCTGACTTTCCTCCATCTTTTTGGCTTCTTTCTTTGGCCCGCTCAGAAGAAGGGCCTTCCATCCAGGCCTGGCGGCTCATGATCATGAGCACTGACTCATTCTGCTACTCTTAGCCAGGCTGCAGGGAGGAGGTCCTGGGATCCCCCTCCTCTGCATGGAGGTAGGCTGCAGGGTCATGAGCAGCCAGTTTTAGCTGTGGGGCAAGGAGGGCAGCCCCTGGAGGTAGAGTGGATTTCCCTCTGCTCTGCAGAAGTCTTCCAGGGCCTGGATAACTCCTGGGGACGTTGCATGAGTGGGGCCAGCACTGGGCGGGCGGGTGGGTGGGCACCTGGAGCTTTGGAGAAGTCAGTCCCTGCTGGCTGGCGTGGCTGTAGGAGTCTAGCCTGGGGGATGGGGCGGGAGAGCTAGGCACGCCTGGGGCCTCAGTGTGGACCCCTGCACACTCCCATTCAAGAAGCGTTCCTGGTCTTTGCATGGATGCATGTTGTGCAGAAGGAGGGGCTCTAAAGGAGGCAGCAGGCCACCTACCCTCCAGAGCGCACCCGGAGCGGGGCTCCATGCTGAGCGCAGTGGGGCCGGCCAGCCCAGGAGCTGGGGCTAGGGCATCAGAGTAGCAGACGGCCGGCCTGACCCGCACCTTCTCCTGGGCAGCCCCCCCATCAGCCATGAGTATTATGACCCAGCGGAGTTCATGGAGGGCGGCCCGCAGGAGGCAGACCGTATGGATGAACTGGAGTATGAGGTGAGCCGGGCGGTCAGGCCACGGCCCGCAGCCAGCCCCGGGAGCCGGCCCAGGACGCTGTCTGCGGCCCTGCTCAGGCCTGGCTCCTGCTGCCCCCAGGCGGCTGGGCCTCGTGGCCCTTCCCGGCACACACCTGGCTGGCAGGGAGGGCGCGGGTGAGGTTGTGCATCCCGTCCATGTTGGTGAGTCCATGTCCCACGCATGTCTGTGTCCTGTGTGTCTTGTGTGTGTCTTGGGCATTTCCTGGTAGGGGAGACCATTGAACACAAGCGCCATCTGGGATGGTAAGAGAAACCCTCCGAGCGGGGGGCTGGAAACTCAGCTCAGGTGTGGAGGGGAAGGTGAGCTGCTGCCGGTGCAGTGCGGGGGGCCGGGCTGAAGCTGCCCCCGTCGGCACGCCTCCTTGCTCACGTGCTTCCCCTGTGGCAGGAGGTGGAGCTGTATAAAAGCAGCCACCAAGACAAGCTGGGCCTGATGGTTTGCTACCGCACGGACGACGAGGAGGACCTGGGCATCTATGTTGGCGAGGTATGGAGGCAGACGCTGAGGCAGGGGAGGTACCCCCACTCCGTCCTCTTCACACAGCCCTCCCAGGGCTCGGAGGCTGCCCATAAGGTCCCTGCCAGCTGCCAGGGATAGGGCATCACAAATAAGCTGCTGGGTACTGGGTGGCAAGGCCAGGACAGCCGATGGCTCCATTGTGTGTCCAGCGAGGCAGTTGTACAGAAGGAGACCTGAGCCTGGGGTGGGACAGCAGACAGGCTTTGTTCTCTCCCGCATCCTGCGGCTAGCCCCCTGAGACTCAACAGGGGGTCCCCTTCTCCCCTCCCTGACTTGGGCAGATGTCTGTGTACTCACGGGAGGGCGAATGGCTCCCCAGCTGTCCTCCATGCTAGCAGTATCCTCAGCCCATCAAGTCCTAGGGCTGATCTTTTTCAGTAGGGGGAAGCATCCAGCTTCCTGCTTTTGCCCAATCCCTGACGAAAAAGAACAGGTTTCTGTGCAAAAGAGCATAGGTGTGCCAGGGGCAGGGCACAGGGTGGTGGGCAGGGGCTGGGGTGCTCTGGTCGGCAAGTTGGCATGTGCTCTCCCTGAGGAGAGGCAGCTAACCCAGGGACCACTGCCTTCGGCCCCTACTTTTCGGGGCTCAGAAGCTGCTGCTCTGAGCTGGAGTGGGAGCCAGAGAGAATTTCAGTTTGCTTTGGGGGTCCCTGAGGTGAGGCTGCCCCTTCCTACTGAAAGGGTACCCTAGGCATCAAGTCCCCAAAATGTGTGTGTCCTGCAGGTAAATCCCAACAGCATTGCAGCCAAAGACGGCCGGATCCGCGAGGGAGACCGCATCGTCCAGGTGAGCACTGGCAGAGCCAGCAGGACTGACTGCGGCCCACTGTGCCCGCAGCCCCAGCCCCACCCTCAGCTGATCCCTCGCTGGGGCCCACTAAGAGCCTCGCTTGCTGCCAGGTGGCCTGCTGGCCCGAAACCTGGGCGAAGTCTCTTCTTTCTCCTGCTCAGCCGGGTCAAGTGGCTCCCTGGTGCCGGTGGGATCGGCTGGCACCCAGGGCCCTCACTGCTTTGGCACCTCTCCTGCCTCAGCACCCACCTCTCTCTCTCCCCACTCCTGTCCTCTGAGCACACACGTCCTCTAGCATGGGTCATAGTGTCCTCTCCCTGGCATTTTACGTTTACTCACATCCTACCAGAGCTCGACAGCCTGCCCCAGCCCAGCGTGCTTGGGCTCTCTGTGGCCCACCCAGAGCCTGCCTGGGCCAGCCCTAGCATCTTTAGTGATTGACCCCTGGTCTGCTGCAGATTAATGGTGTGGACGTCCAGAACCGGGAAGAGGCGGTGGCCATCCTGAGCCAGGAGGAGAACACCAACATCTCCCTGCTGGTGGCCCGGCCTGAGAGCCAGGTTTGTGTGCCCGGCAGGGTGACCTGGGGCCCCTGACATCAGGTTCTCTGTCTTGAAAGCTGCTGATCCGTGACAATGGCACAGACATGCCAACAACCTGGAGTTGATGCAGGGCAGGCGGGCAGGGGTATCCCAGAGCCCCTTTCTCCTTCCAGCCTCTGGTGGCTGAGTGGGCTGGGACCACCCCCTTTCCTGTGTTATTCAACTTCACCAACACCAGGAGGCTGGTTGTCAGGCCTAGAGGGACTGGAGGGATGTCTGAGCAGGTCCTTGAAGTGGTGGGAACAGCATGGGCTTGTCTCTCCAGCTGGCAAAGCAGTGGAAGGACAGTGACCGGGATGACTTCCTGGATGCCTTTGCCTCTGAGAATGAGGGGGACCTGCATGCTCAGAAGCTGAAATCGCCCCCTGCCCAACAGGTGAGGAAGGAGGAAGGGTGGCAGCTGGGGAGGGCAGGAGGGAGGGAAGAGGAGGAAGGGGCTGGGGGTATGTAGAATCTCCCAGCCTTGGCCGGGAAACGAACGAAGCCAGCAGCCCCTTCTGATCCCCCTTGTCTTTCTGCCCCAGGTTGGAAACGAAGAGGAGAAGGGGGCTCCTGATGGGGGCCAAGGCCTGAGCAACAGCCAGGAGCTGGACAGTGGAGTGGGCCGGACCGATGAGAGCACGCGCAACGAAGAGAGCTCTGAACATGACCTGCTGGGGGACGAGCCCCCGAGCACCACCAACACCCCTGGGAGCCTGCGCAAGTTCGGCCTGCAAGGGGATGTCCTGCAGAGTCGGGACTTCCACTTCAGCATGGACTCGCTGCTGGCTGAGGGGGCGGGGCTGGGAGGGGGCGACGTCCCGGGCCTCACTGACGAGGAGTATGAGCGCTACCGCGAGCTGCTGGAGATTAAGTGCCACCTGGAGAACGGCAACCAGCTGGGTCTCCTCTTCTCCCGGGCCTCCAGCGGCAACAATGCCCTGGACGTCAACCGCAACGAGAGCCTGGGCCACGAGATGGCCATGCTGGAGGAGGAGCTGCGGCACCTGGAGTTCAAGTGCCGCAACATCCTGCGGGCGCAGAAGATGCAGCAGCTGCGGGAGCGCTGCATGAAGGCCTGGCTGCTGGAGGAGGAGAGCCTGTACGACCTGGCGGCCAGTGAGCCCAAGAAGCACGAGCTGTCCGACATCTCCGAGCTGCCCGAGAAGTCGGACAAGGACAGCACCAGCGCCTACAACACAGGGGAGAGCTGTCGTAGCACCCCACTGCTTGCGGAGCCCCTGCCGGAGAGCCCCCTGAAGCGGGCTGCTGCTGGCAACTCCAACTTGAACCGGACCCCTCCTGGCCCCCCTGTCGCCACCCCCTCGAAGGTGGCTCCTCCTCAGGGAAGCCCCGCCAAGTTCCAATCCCTCTCCCGGGATCCCGAGGTGGGCCGGAGACAGCACGCAGAGGAGCGCATCCGCCGCAACCCTAAGATGGGGGTGACGCTGGAGCGAGTGGGCCCTGAAGGCAGCCATTACCTCTCACGGCGCCACCGCGGCCAGGGCCAGGAGAGCGAGCACTACCAGAGCTGCATGCAGCTGGCCCCGGCGCGAGGCCTGGAGGAGCTGGGCCACGGCCCCTTGAGTTTGGCCGGCGGCCCGCGGGTGGGTGGGATGGCGGCCGTGGCCACCGAAGCGCCCCGCATGGAGTGGAAGGTGAAGGTGCGCAGTGATGGGACCCGCTATGTGGCCAAGCGGCCCGTGCGGGATCGGCTGCTGAAGGCCCGGGCGCTGAAGATCCGGGAGGAGCGCAGCGGCATGACCACCGATGACGATGCGGTGAGCGAGATGAAGATGGGCCGCTACTGGAGCAAGGAGGAGCGCAAGCAGCACCTGATCCGGGCCCGGGAGCAGCGGAAGCGGCGTGAGTTCATGATGCAGAGCCGGCTGGAGTGCTTGAGGGAGCAGCAGAGTGGCGACAGCAAGGCGGAGCTCAACATCATCGCCCTGAGTCACCGCAAGACCATGAAGAAGCGGAACAAGAAGATCCTGGACAACTGGATCACCATCCAGGAGATGCTGGCGCACGGTGCACGCTCGGCCGACGGCAAGCGGGTCTACAACCCTCTGCTCTCGGTCACCACCGTGTGAGCTGCCCCGGCCAGAGCATGGCCCAGGCCCAGGCCCAGGGCACCTCCTGGGGCCCCGGCCCTTCCTCTCCCTTAGGATCTAGTGCGTGTCTGTGTGTGTGTGCTCGTGCGCACACCTACCTGTCTTCGTGTGTGTGTGCACAGACTTTAACGGAGAGAAGCCCTGGAGAAGGGACACTTCTTTTCCCTCACCTACTTCCTTCTCCCCAAGGAAAGCGACCATGTCGACGACTGGCATTGGAAGCACACCTGTAACGGGCACCCCTTCAGCCGTCTGTGTGTCTCTTGATGTGTGTGCTTGGAGACGTGGAAGTGGAGCTGCGGAGGAGTGGCGAGGACTGTCCTAAGCACAAGAAAATGTCCAGCTTCACTGGAGAGGGCGAGCGCAGTCTCTCCCTGCCACTGAGAGCCGCAGCCACTTGTAGACAAAGGCAACCCTGATTTTGTGTTTTTTCTCCCTTTCTGTGCTTGCCAATAATTGTTTTGTTTTGTGGACCTGCCGTGGGGGCTGGCAGCTCCTTCAGGCGGTCTGACCAAGGTGGAACCCCCCACCCCTGAGCGATGGCTGGGAAGGAGGTGGGAGAGGAGGAGAGGGAGGGCTGGGGAGGGGAGGGAGGGAGG